ATGGATGGAATAAGAGTTGAATTTTTTAGTTCACTGTCATGTAATTCAATAATCTCAGAGTCTTAAGTCACTCCATCCAATCTCCAATAAGAAGCTGACGTTAACCCTCATTCCTCCNACTCCTAAAGACTAGGACAACTAAAACAATTTTATTTGCCAAACTAAATTCCTAACAGAGAGAAAAGATTCAGATCAATGAAATCAATGCAGATGTGTCATTTCCTTTTTTTTTTATCAGCACCACATTTCAGGTTAATAATCGAGATCAAAGAAAAGATCATTGCATTCTTAAGATACAACTCAGATTTTTTTGCCTAAAAACTGGAAGATGTGTAAGGAATTGAACCCAAAGTGATTGTTCATAAATTTAGTGTGAACCCTAATTACCGATTTGTCGAGCAAAAGAGGAGGAGTTTCGCCCCTGAAACATACAAGACAAGGTTAAGCTGCTTAATGCCAAGGTAGTTCGAGAAGTAGATTACCCGAGTTGGTTGGCAAACATAGTATAGTAAGGAAAACCAAAAATAAACTAATATATACACCTTCTCATAGTTGAAAGTTGAGGCTAGAGTTTCTATTGTGGTGTTGGCGAAATAGAAACTTAGGGTTCTAATTATGGTATTGTGTCTTTGGAGAGGAAATGTGAGTTTAGTGGGCAAAGAAGATGCATCAGTGGTCAATAGAGGTGTGACGGTGGTTAAAAGAGGTGTGTTGGAACATTTCTTCTACACTATCAAATCATGTTTTTTCCAATGTATAAGTGGTTGGATAACAAAATCGCATCCATTAAAAAAAAATTATTAGGCCAAATGTTTTACCTATCACAGTACAATTTAAAAATTCCACCACTCCACTGATAGTAAATTGAATGGCAGGGAACTAAAAAAACTCAATGTGTTTTTATAAATTATGGATGGAATAAGAGTTGAATTTTTTAGTTCACTGTCATGTAATTCAATAATCTCAGAGTCTTAAGTCACTCCATCCAATCTCCAATAAGAAGCTGACGTTAACCCTCATTCCTCCCATCCCCATACTCCAATGCTTTCTTCCCCGTCACATCACTTCTTCCTACTCCACCACCCATTACCTTAGCCCAAGCAGGGCCGACCCTAGGCCTAGGCCACTTAGTTGGCTGCCTAGGGCCCCTAGTTTTTTCAAAATTTTGAGACCTCCAAGCAAGAGTTTTAGTTCTTGGTAAATATATTTTGGATGGGCTGATTTGAGAGGTCCCAAATTTTACTTACCTAGAAAATTGCTCCACTTGCCAGCTATTGTAGACTATTAGATTTCTTGCCAGTTATAGAAGGCTGATAGATTTTTGCAACAAGGAAGATAGATATTTCTAATAACGTCTATCTCTTAACAGTTATCTCTCTCTCTTAACATTTCTTTTGTCTACAATTGAGAATGTAGTAACACTATCGGCTGAAGAATCTTTTAGAATTGAGTATTTTTTATTTATAGTTGATCTAGTTATTTCTTCGATCAAGAGTAGATTTGAACAATTCAAAATATATGAAAATATTTTTGGGTTTTTATTTTGTTTTAAAAAATTAGAATTCTTAGATGATGATAGTTTGAAAATTTATTGTCTTAACCTTAAATTTTTTTTTGAAGCATGATTTATTTTCTGATATTGATGGTTTAAATTTATTTCAAGAATTGATTGTATTAAGAAAAGTCATACAATTTGAAATTAACACTTCAGCTGAAACCCTAATTTATATAAAACGGTTAGATTCTTTTTCAAATGCATATATAGTTTTTAGAATAATTTTAACAATACCGGTAATAGTTGCTTTGGCAGAGAGAAATTTTTTAAAACTTAAATTAATAAAATCTTATCTCCAATCAACTATATCACAAGAAATATTAAATACATTAACTATATTATCCATTGAAAAAGATATATTAACAAAACTTGAATATAAAAATTTAATCAATATTTTTGCATCTAAAAAAACTAGAAAAATAGTTTTTAAATGAATATATTTTAATAATTATTGTCTATTAATAGAGTCCCACTTTATATTCTTGCCTAAGGCCTCCAGATTTGTTGAGCCGCTACTAGCCCAACCAACCTTCACATCCCCAAAACCGCCACAATTACCGGNAAACTAGAAAAATAGTTTTTAAATGAATATATTTTAATAATTATTGTCTATTAATAGAGTCCCACTTTATATTCTTGCCTAAGGCCTCCAGATTTGTTGAGCCGCTGCTAGCCCAACCAACCTTCACATCCCCAAAACCGCCACAATTACCGGATTTTTTCATGGAACACGAGAGTGCACACAACCTGCCAAAACGAAACGTTGATGGAAGCATGGAACGACTGTTATCTCAGACTCAACCGGGGTAATCAGAAAGACTAGAAAGAAGTTGCCGATGTCTTTAACGACCGTCAAACCTTGTCGTTGAAATGGTTGTTCTATTCGCGCCTTGGTTACGTCATCGAACCAAACTCCGTTAAACCGACGAGCAAGAATTTTGCCACCACCGTTATTCTCACTTTCCATAAAATAGAAGTAGAAACCAAATATTAACCCTAATTTTAACGTGTTGCTGCGAGGAATGAGTTAAGGTGCTCAGAAGGAAAACTATTTTTTTTATTCTTTGCTAAGTGAATTGTACAATTTGTTTCTTGTAATTCTTTTGAAAAAAAAAACTCTAATTTTAATGCCGTTAATTTTTCCAGTAGTTTGGATCTAATAAGAGTTGCCTTGGTAATGGTGGAAGACACGACGACGACGATGATGGGGTGTTCGTTGTGAGGAAGAATGGAAAGTTTGTTCGTTGTGAGGAAGAATGGAAAGTATGAATTTGTCCGAGAAATCGGCATATAAGGAATTGGCGAGGACAATTTTGAGGTTCGGGTGTTGGTTGATGGTGGTGGNACCCTAATTTTAACGTGTTGCTGCGAGGAATGAGTTAAGGTGCTCAGAAGGAAAACTCTTTTTTTTATTCTTTGCTAAGTGAATTGTACAATTTGTTTCTTGTAATTCTTTTGAAAAAAAAAAACTCTAATTTTAATGCCGTTAATTTTTCCGGTAGTTTGGATCTAATAAGAGTTGCCTTGGTAATGGTGGAAGACACGACAACGACGATGATGGGGTGTTCGTTGTGAGGAAGAATGGAAAGTGTGTTCGTTGTGAGGAAGAATGGAAAGTATGAATTTGTCAGAGAAATCGGCATATAAGGAATTGGCGAGGACAATTTTGAGGTTCAGGTGTTGGTTGGTGGTGGTGTAGGATTTCTATGGAAGAAGAACTAGATTTATGCATAAGAAAGACTATTAATAACTCTTGGTTGGGTAAAGCACAAGACAAAGGATAATATTGTCATATTAAAAAATAAAAAAAATTAGTTTGAACCTCTCGTCTTAAAAATTCAACTAAGTCTCACACTCTAAAAAAATACAAGTATGAACTTATTTACAAATTAAATACTTTATAGTTTTCAACAATTTTCTCAATTTATTTCTCCATTTTAGTAGAAAACATCATGCAAATGATATATTTCTATTGAAAGAGGAGGTTTATATCTTTATGAAAAAAGTTGAGAGATAAAAGAAAAGACTAAAAGGTAGAGAGGCCAGGAGATGAATGCTATTACTTGGAATTGAATATCAAATTTGGCTTACACAAATGGTTACACACGAACCCTTTTTATAGGGTTCAGTGGGTGCTTCGAATCCAACATCTTACCTAAATACGTCTTCTAATAACTTCCAAAAACATCACTCCATATTTTACAATATATTCTGGAACCTTTTACATAAAAATTATAAGAAAATAGGCTAAATTAAGGGGTTTAATTGACACAATAATCATAGTTTAAGGATCATTTGTCTATTTTACTCAACTCATTTGTGTCACGTGAGTGGTTCACTTCGCCACTTTCATTAAAAATTCTAGTGGAGCCAGACAAAAAAACTCAATTGACATAATTAGATAATTCAATGTCTCAATTGAAAAAAAAATAAAAAAGAGGCTTAATTGACAGAAGGTCATAGTTGAGGGTATAGTTTACTCAAAATATTAGTATTACATTTTTAGGTTAATCACAAATTGCACACCGAAAGATCACTCGACTCTTAATTTGTACCCTCAAAAATAAAAAATCTCAATTTATACCCTAAAAGATATAAATTTGTATCAATACGCATTTGAAACTAACAACCGTCTATTTGCCATCTAAAACTAATTGGATAAATTATACCTAAACCCCTCAAGTTTGTTACTTAATTATTTGAACCCCTCACATTTAGAATATTACTCATACACTTCTTAACGTTTGTGCACGTGTAATATATAACCCTTTGTCCTAAATATCTATTTATATAACCGTTAAAAAATATGAATATATTCTAATAAAAAAATATAATTTTTATATTACCCTTTATTTTGTGGGTCTATTATATTCCAAAATTAAAAATTAAGATTATCATTTGAATGTCTAATATAATACAAGTATTTATAGTGTTCTTTATATCGAATGCAATACATTTCTTGAATTAAATTATTTGGATGCCTAATTGGAAGAATATTTTTAGTCATATATTAGATCCGTCAAGGATGTAAGTATAATATTTGAAATGTAAAAGGTCTTAAGTGACATAAGAGGGTCCAGGTATAACTTATTCATTTAATTTTAGACTAACGGTTGTTAGTTTTAAGTGTGCATTGATACAAATTTATATTTTTGAGGGTATAAATTAAAATTTTTTATTTTTAAGAATACAAATTAAGATTCGAACAATCTTTCACCAGATAATTTGCAATTAACCCCGCGTTTTTTTCGCAAGTAAATTAATGCTAACGTACGCAACCGCCCCCGCACCATCCAGCTAACATGCGCACTTGCCCAACCACTTCTTGCCCTTCCGCAAAAGTCCATGTCACGCGCAACCTATGACCTCCCACCACCCTCCCACCACCTTCACACAACCCCTTTTGACTAACATGCGCCATCACCTCCTCTCCTCCTCCATAACCATGGCCCCCTCTTCGCTTTCTCTCTCCAAACCCACCTCCAACAAGAGATCCTCAACCTCCACCACTCACCAATCCAACAACGCTAACCCTAATTCCCCAAATTGCTCCTCTCTCCTCTGCAGACACTCCCCATCAGCCACCCTCGACATCCTCATCCTCATTCTCGTCCTCTTCTCTGTCACCTTCTTGATTTCCTCCTACTTTTCCTACATCTTCAAGTCCCTTTCTCTGCTCTTGCCTACGCTTTCTTTTTCTACAGTTTGGAATGTTTTGTGCGATACCCAGATTGTTTACTACACATGTTTCTCTCTCTTCTTTATCACTGTTTTGATTTCGATTGAGATATGTTGTGGGTACAGGTCGAAGAAGTGTGGGAAAGTGGGTTGTAAGGGGTTGAAAAAGTCGATGGAGTTCGATTTGAGGCTGCAGAGTGAGGAGTGTTTGAGATCTGGAGCTAAGGAAGTGAAGGAGATAGATGAATTGCCTTGGAAAGGTGGGAGTGAGGAGAATCCTGATTATGAGTGCTTGCGCGCAGAGTTGAGGAAGATGGCGTGGCCCAATGGACGGGCAGTTCTGCTTTTCATGGCGAAGTGTGGGTGCCCAGTTTCTAAGCTTGAAGGGTGGGGGCCGAAACGCCGGCGTCGGCACAAGAAGTGAGTTCCATTTTCATTGATCGTTGTGTGATTTGTGTGATTTTAGTTAATGATGATGTTGTTGGTTGAAATTTCGAGATTTATCTGATTGGTTTGATGGAAATTATGGCATCTGTAGCATATTTTTGACTAGTTGTGAATTTCTGTTTGAATGATTGAACGAAACCGATGAGAAATGAAAATGCCTCAACCCCTTTGCTTATTCTTTTGTTTTTCATTTTTTTATTCGGAGATTTTATATGTTCCAATGAAATGAATTTCTTGTCTTAGGGACTTGTTGCGCAGTGATGTGTTTGTAGCTGTTTGAGTGGATATGACCAAGGGCTTTGGTACAATTGGACTACTTGTTTTTAGATTGATTTTTAAGTGATAGATGTTACAATCAAATAATTTGATGGAGCAGAGCATTGTTCAATACTATTTAATGCTTACTAAGTCCAACAAATTTCTCCTTGGTAATTTAAGTTTGTTGCTATTGGTCATTAACTTGTTTACTGCTGAAATCAAACTAGTGTTAAAGTGTTTATCTAGGGAGAACATGAGTAGGAATATGAGCTTTTCATTAGAAAATCAAAGATCCATGGAGATACTATTTGAAGATTAATGTTAAGCANCTATTGGTCATTAACTTGTTTACTGCTGAAATCAAACTAGTGTTAAAGTGTTTATCTGGGGAGAACATGAGTGGGAATATGACCTTTTCATTAGACAATCAAAGATCCATGGAGATACTATTTGAAGATTAATGTTAAGCATGTGATGGGAAGAATGTCTATCTTATCAATAAATAGGGGCCTTCGGAAAATGGTGCAAATTACCGACGGGGTTTGGAGAGGATGATTGTGGTATGGGGCCCATAGTGTGGATTTTGCAATGGTAAATCATTCAGATTAACAACTGTAAGGCGTGGGTTCCAATTTGAAGGTGATCACTTTGGGTAAGTAAAGCCAGAATACCCTTGGTAACTATAGGATCCATATAGTGGATTGATTTCAAAAATTGGTGGCCTTTGTTTGATGTGATTTATGGAGAATATCCTCGGTTTTGATTAATGAAGAGTCATTAAATATCTGATTGCTGAAAGAAACTATGGGAAAGGGGTGGAATGAAGTTGATATTTGGAGTTGCACTATATTTTTGGGGTGGAATGAAGTTGATGTTTGGATTTGGTGTCTATTGGCGGAAAATATTTCTTAAGCTTTGTTGCAAAATTATGTAAAAATATAAGAGTATAGTATTACTTGTGAAATAAGGGGGGAAGTGGATGCCTCATTTTTTACTCCAAATAGAGGATTGGAATGTAGATTTGATATGGCTACTTCAATCCTACTCCAAGCTCTATAATTTGACCTTTGTACTCAAGTGGGAGGTTTTACTGCTAAAGTTGAGGTGTCCATTCCTTTTTTTTCTTTCTTTCTTTCCAAAGCGGATGGATGACCAGTAGCCTCAACTGCTTTGGATTCTCGTGAAAATGCCCTCTCAGTTAGACCATGGCTTTGAGCTAAAATTTTCATTTTGGATCATTTATTTGCTAGAAGTTGGACATCCTACAATATGTGTCTCATGCAAATCCAAACCCCAATGAGCTGATAACTCTCTCGTTAGTTATTGATATAAGACCCAGTTTAGTCTCCATTAATGGGGGCCCGAGGGGTGAAGACTCAATACAGACCTAATTTTTGGTATTATTTGTACAAAGCAAGAACGCACAATATGAGGAAAGGTTTGGTTTGTCTGATGATGAAAAGTGGATTGTTTTGAAAAAATTTCTGGAAAAATGAATTTGTCTTTAAACCACAATAAACGAAAAGGTAGGACAGAGGGAGAAGGTAAATCTGTAAGAAAGAATAAGGGACAGAGAGCTTAGAAATTTACAGTCATGGATAAATTATGTTAGGATAGTGTATAGGAGCAATGGGGAGGGTGATGTGAGTTTATCATGAGGATTATTAGTTAGAACATGAGGGGTTTAGGATCAAAAAGTCAGCGCAGTCCAAGTAGGGTGTGCTTATTGGAGAGTGTCCTGATGTGGTTATTTTGAAGGAATCGAAAAAAGAAAAGTTTGATAGGAAATTGATAAAAAGTGCGTGGAATTCTAGGTTTAGGAACTGGTTTTATTTGTCGTCCATTGGGAGATTGGGGGTATATTTATTATGTGGGATGAAAGGACCATTAATGTGGAGTCAATAGAGAGGGAGTATTCACTTTCGATTAGGATTAAGTCTAGTGATGGTTTTGAATGGTGGTTAACGAGTGTGTATGGTCCAAAATTGTCCTATGGAGAGAGGTAGACTATGGGAGGAATTGGCAGATTTTTTGGGTCATATAGATCGCATTGGGTGGAGATTTTAATGACATTAAATATCTATCTAAAAAGTTGAATAGAAGACGGGTGACCAGCATTATGAGGGTTTTTGATGCTTTATTAGGGAAACAAGGTTAAAGGATCCTCCTTTGGGTAATGGTACTTTCATTTGGTCAAATTTTGGAGACAATCCAATTTGTAATAGATTGGATAGGTTCCTTTTCTTGGCTGAGTGGGAGAACTGTTATTTGAGAATTCATCAAGAGAGATTGACAAGCATAGTGTCGGATTATTGTCTTATAGTTTTTAATTCTTCTCTAATGAAATAGGGTCATTGTCCTTTTAGATTCGAGAATATGTAGTTAAAGCATCATGCATTTAGAGGACAATTTAAGGAGTGGTGGGGGGAAGGAATCTTTCAGGGTTGGGAAGGTTTTAACTTTGTGAAAAAGTTAGAATATGTGAAGCATAAGGTGAAATTGTGGAATAAAAAAGTGTTTGGGGATATAAGGGTTACTAAAAGTCAAATCATGGATAGAATTAGAGAGATTGATAAGAGTGAGGAGAAAGTCGCATTAGGTAAGGATTTGAGAAATAGGAGATGAGAGTTAAGGAATAAGTTTTAGGAGGTAGTAGTGTTCAAGAAATAAATTAGTTGGAGGCAAAAGACTAGAGTGAAATGGTTATGCAAAGGAGATAATAATTCTAATTTTTTTCATCGGATTGCAAATGGTAAGAAAAAGAATAAATTCATTGATAAATTGGAATTGGAAGATGGGAGGATTATTAAGCTTGAGGGAGTGATTGAAAGTAACATTGTTGAGTTTTTTGCCCAATTATATTCATCTCAAACGGGTGATAAGCCAATTGTGGAAGAGTTAGAGTGGAGTTCTATTGAGGAGGCTAGACCTAGGTGAATTGAAAGACCATTTGAGGTAAAAGAAGTGAGAATGACTTTTTTGGGTGTGGAAGAGATAAAGCTCTTGGTTTTGATTGTTTCACCTTGGCCATTTTGCAAAATTGCTGGAATATTGTTAAGGGGTATTTGATGAAAGTTTTTTTATGAATTCTTCCAAAGTGGTGTTATTAATGCTATCACTAATGCTACATTCATTTGTTTGATTCCAAAAGAAGACCAGCCTATGAAAATTAGGGATTTTTGGCTGATAAGCTTGATAACTAGTCTCTATAAAATTATTGTCAAAGTGTTATCATTGAGACTAAGAGAGACTTTTAGAAATACTATCTCTGAGTGCCAAGGTACTTTTGTTGAAGGAAGGCAAACTATTGATGTTGCTTTAGTGGCTAATTAAGTAGTTGAAGAATATATGAGTTAGAGGAAATGAGGGTTTTGTATTTAAGATTGATTTTGAGAAGACCTATGATCATGTGGATTGGAATTTTTGGGATTATGTTTTGGAAGTGAAGAGCTTTGGATGTCGATGGAGGAGGTGGATTAAGGGTTGTTTGCGATAGATGAAGATCTTTCTTTGTTATGATGAATGGAAAACCAAGAGGTAGATTTAGCATTTAGGGCATCTAGAGGATTGAGACAAGGAGACCTGTTTTCACCTTTTCTCTTTAGTTGCAGATGAGTTGAGTAGGTTGGTAAGAAGGGTTGAAAGGGTTAATTTGGTTGAAGGATTTACTGTGGGAAGGGATAGAGTGTTTGTAGTTTGCAAATGATACTATATTTTTTTTTGTGGATGATGAAGAAAAAATGTTGAATTTGAAGAATATTGTGGAAGTTTTTGGAATGATTTTTGGTTTGGAGGTGAATATAGAGAAGATCATTCTTGTGGGTATAAATTCACACCATGATAAGATTAATAGAATTGCAGAACTTGTGGGGTGCAAGGTGGGGGAATGACCTAAGAAGTACTTAGGTTTACCATTGGGTCAAAATTCTTTGTCTTCATCTTTTTGGGAGCCCGTTGTGGAAAAGATGGGAAAAAGATTAGATGGGTGGAAGAGTGCTTTCATTTCCAAGCGAGGTAGGTTAATTTTAGTTCAGTTTGCCTTATCTAGTATTCCCACATATTTTTTATTTTTGTTTAAGATACCTGTAAGAATTGCTTTGAAAATAGAGAAAATGACGATGGATTTTTTGTGGGAGGGAAGAGGAAAGATCACTTAATTAGATGGGAAGTGGTTTTTAGATCTAGGGATAAAGGAGGTCTTTCAATTGAAAATTTGAAGGTAAGAAATATGACTTTAGTGGGTAAGTGACTTTGGAGGTTTCCTTAGAACATAATTTTTTATGGCATTTAGTTATCAAGAGCAAATATGGATTGTAGGGTAATAGATGGGATGCTTATAAGATTGAAAAAGGAAGTTGTGGATGTCCATGGAAATTTATATCATAGGGATTGTCCAGGTTTTCCCAAAATCTTATTTTTAGGGTGGGTAAGAGAGACAGTTTGCTTTTGGGAGGATATTTGGTCTGGGGGTCATCTTTTAAAGATTGTTTCCACGTCTCTATCGCTTATCATCCTTTCAGGGTGATTTCATTGCTTCTATGGTGAGATCTTATGGTCAACTATATTCTTGGGATTTCGATTTTCGTAGGAATTTAGATGATAGGGAATCTATGGAGTTGACATCTCTTAATTTTCTTAATAGTTCTTTGTTGAATCAAGATTTATGTGATCAAAGAAAATGGAAAATTGAATCTTCTAGTATTGTCTTGTAAATCCTTC